TAGTCGAATTTTCGACAACATAAACGCTGGGCAAAAAGCCGGTGTGGCAGTCGCAGTGGTAGCCGGAGCGTGTATCGTTGGGGTCGGCGCATTGGTGTACAAGAAGCGCCGGCAGAATGTGCGCCGCTCGCAGTACGGGTACGCCGCCAGGAGTGAAATTCTATAGAGCAGTGCACAGAATTCTATGTCTACGTACTGTATCAGACCTCTTTTGTTTGGTTATGTTCATAAATAATTTCTAGATTTGTCGCATTATTGATATTGGGATTTGTTTGATTCTTTTCTGCTTATTAATAATAATTCTTTAATCACACACCAATTCTTAGTTAATTTTGTCTTTTGGAGGAAAATGTTGTGCTTATTTCAATAAAAATATGAATTTACGTTGCAAAAATAGATTTGATAGCCCTCAGGACCACTGAGGTGAGTACCCGACTGTAAACTTCAGGGCTCCGTGGAATTAGTTGAGGTGCGCGCAAGCTGGCCCAAACATCCACGGTTATAAAAAAAGAAATAGATTTGATTGACCATTTTTTATTTGGCCATTTGATTTTTAATCTTGTCAAGTGGTACTAGATTTATGAGTTTCTTCTTTATCGCCTATTCGATGGACATTATTTTCATAAAAAAAAAAATGATTTTTAAATAATGATTTTTTTTGGAGAATATGTTTACGTGTACAATATTTTATTGTTTAAATATGTGGTTGAAAATGAGTGAGAGAATTAAAAAGTTTGAAAATAAAGATTGTCAAACATGGGCTTAATTACTCAAGCGAAGTAATATGAAAATTCTCTTCAATTGAAAGAAATTGTAGTTAAATTAAATTTAAGGAAAGACAATTTTGAAAAAAAATAAAAATCAAACAAGGACTTTATGTTGTACCTACACTGGGTTGAACAATACTGAAACTGAATATTTAAAAGTTTTAAAAGAAAGATATTACGCCTCTTACAAAGAGGCTCCAGATTAGCACCTATGTGGATGCCAGCTACAAGGTCCACATTCCCTCGTGTTTGTTACTAAATTGTCAAGGTTGTATGTCTTTATCTGTGTTCGTGAAATCGAGGCTCCGAGGTGATACACCTCGAAAGACAGTAAGACGAGCAAGAAAGAGGGAGGGGCGCTGCTTGAACATCGCCTCTTCCGTGTTAAATAGGGAATCTTTGTACCAAAATCTAGCGAACATAAGATCCACACGATTGATTGATGTATTGTTTGTACAGTATACGCTAATAAATCAAATCACCAAATCCACTCATTAGGGGGCATTAAATGATCGTCAATCTATGGATTGATTGATTAATACCTAGGAAAGGGCGTCTCGTCCGACAGATGAGCCACGTATTCTTCCATTCAACAGTCCTAAATTCACTTATTTCCCTATAAATACTCACTCGGCATCATTTGAAAGTTAAGGCAATTCTACAATTTAAAATACACCATTTGCCTCGTTATCTTTGAATCAAGTATGTTACCCCATTTTCCTTCGACGTTAACTAACTTGACCGTCAAAGTGCTCGTTGCCGCCTCCACCGTCATTGGAAAAGGCTACGAGTGATTATGGTTTTGCTGGTGCATAGGAAGTCATCTACGTGGAATGTTTACTTGTTGGCCATTTAACCTTTACGAAAATTGCGGTCAACAAAATATACTCTAATTCCAAATATTTTGAATAGCCTTGAAATGAAGGTCCAAAACTAGCTGATATGGTAGGAGCAAAGTTTTACCGTGTCAATGATGAGTTCGAGCCTCCATCTAGAGAAGGGGTAATGCCCTTTATAAAAAGGAAAAGAAAGAAAAGAAGATTTGTTATGATATTAAGTAATTTCATTTAATTCAAAAAATAGTACGTAATATATATCGTTGGTAACAAATTGTGGACTGGCGTGGTATGGCATACCATGTGGTCCTTAGAGCATGTGCGGTCCACGTTCGATTTGCAAATGAATTGAATTCATATCAGTCATAATTATTCCGTCCCAACTTATAAGCTCAGAGTAAATATTCCTTTTTGTATATTATCAGATTTTTTTTTTTTGTTGGATTTTGGTTTCTTATTGAATTTCATTATTAGTCCAGTTGAGTTGGGTAGTTGCACACCAAGGTCTTCAACCAGCACTGAAAAATTCCTTTCCTTCAATTTCAAGATAGTCTCAACTGAAAACAAGTAAACCGTACTCATCAATTCAAACCATTCCATTCAAGATAGTCTTGAGTTGAGGGTCTTAGATGATAATTTTAGTATTTTAAATTTATTTAATTCTATTCCATTTCTAAAAGTATAATATTTCAATAATTACAAACATATGAATATGTTTGGGAGCCATTCTTAGCAAATTTTTTACCGTTATACAGTACAATCAGTCGTCTATTCTGACGAAGCCAAGCAGAATTTTGATATTAGAGTCAATAATTACGGTTCCAACTGCCAGAATTTTGATTAAAATCAAGCAAGAATTGCACCCGGACAAGCACTCCTTCAATTCTATGATTCACCAAGTTCGTTACATTTTGAATTTTGATCCAATTCTCGTATTCATCTCGAATGAACTGAGCGTCATGAATCTGTAGCTGTGTTCTTCGCTTCCCGTACAAAATAAAGACAATATTCATTTTATTCGACAATAAAAATATTACATAAACTTATATTGCAGATTTTGATACGCTAACTTGTATAGCAAAGGCCCTTCTGCACATAAACTTTATTGCATAATGTATTCATATTAAGCTTCGGACAGATCTTCTAATACAACATTAATATATTTTGCTACCTTATTTCTTAAGGAACTGCATGTGTTTACTCTTCTGCAGGAGGATCCACCCAACGGTCATGGTCTTTAATTAGCTGGATCAAGGCATCTGTTGCATGCTCCATAGCTATGCCCCTTTTCACCACAGTCTGAATTGCATAAAATTCGTCAATACTGGGTCAGTCGCAACCAATACGAACAGCCATGAATAACAATATATTGGATGAAGAAATAGGATTCGTTCGAAACTTGTGCATCAAGACAACAAAAGAGCTACAAGTTACCTAATCGACCATTCTATTAATTGGCATGTGCATTGAATGTATAAGGGTTGCTCAAATCACAGATGGACAAATTTGACATCGAAAACCTATTACTCGGAAATTTCGAACATGACGTGTTTACCTTGCCAACGTAAAGGTCGATCTTTCCAGGAGCACCTCCAACATACCCAAAATCTGCATCAGCCATTTCTCCTGGGCCGTTCACAATGCAACCCATGATTGCGATCTGCATAGGAAAAGAAGATTTGAATAGGTCACACATTTGGTTAATTAAAAGTACCATCACCAATGAATTATTGTGTTGAGGAAGAAAAAGAAGCTAAAATTTGGATTAATATACTGTTTTGTTCTATCTAATACTGTGCAACCCAAATGAACATAGAGATTTCATAATTACCGAAACACCAGGCAAATGGGATGTCTTCTCTCTTATTTGTGCACTGATCTCTTGAAGGTCAAATAAAGTCCTTCCACAAGATGGGCATGAGACGTACTCCTGAAATTAGCATCGTCCGCAGATTAAATAAGTCGAGAGCCTCTTTTTAGATTAATTTTCATTCTTTATCAATACTAAATTCCTTACCGTCTTTGTATTTCGCATTCTACAACCTTGTAACAAATTGAAAGACGTATTTCTAAGGAACTCAAAGTCCTGATCTGGGGCTTCCAATAAGATACCATCTCCCAGCCCATCGACTAGAAGGCCTCCTGCATTGGTCCCAGCACCAATGACTAAATCGTCCCTGCCAGTAAGCAGAAAACATATGAGCTAAAAGTTCATCTCATCCAAGCAAAACTGAATTTGGTTCTGAAGTACCTGTGAATTTTGCTAGGGAACTCTATGTGATGAATGACAGGAAAGTCCAAGGAATTTTCAGAAAGATATTCAAAAAGCCTGCAACCATCAAGTGGGTAATTATCATGGCCAGATAAAAATATAAAAGGACATAGTCATCAAGTCAGAAAAAAAAACGTTAATTTCACAAATAGCGGTAAGCTACAATAGGCAGAAATTTGGCTTTTGCAAGTTGCTAGTGCATTACAGTGATCATGAGTATGATAAGCAACTATGTATCAATTATCTCTGGATCATAGTAATACATTTCTTAAACCAGGCTAATATCACCTGAAAAGGTCAACCCCTACTAAAGCTCTACCGGTTTCTTATTTTTCAGGCTTACAGCTACAATAAACTGCTTAAGCATCAAAGTTGAAGTGGCACTCTTACTTCTGGTGGCCAAGCTCCCTCACCAACGTATATTTTACAAATTTCCAGTGGGTTTTAAGTTCAGATGTCGAGGGGTCAACCAAGTATCTTAGATTTTCCAGTCAACAGGATTGCACAAGAAAATCAAACTTGGATTTCAGTTTCATATAAAATTTCAGTCTCGTGGAATATCTGTATACTGAGGATAAGAATGAGGACTTCAGTCTGATTATGAAGGCATCAACAGGATGCAAATAAGGCAGACTTCTCAAGCAACTTCACAAAATGGAAGCCGGACTCTCCCCACCAGACTGATGGCATTTATATGTAAGCTAGAGAGTTAAGCGTGTGAGCATGGTTATATATGTGAACAGACTTGTAATGATGCAATGCCAAATGCATAGACACTCTTAACATGGCCAAAAAGAACAATACATTAAATGCAATCTGAGAAGTGTCATACCTCCTTGCTGCATGAACTCTGCTAGTTTTCTTTTCTGCATATGGTAAATTGTGAAGAATCATTGTTGCATCAACACCCTTCAGAATTTCTAACTCTTCTCGGGATTCATCGCCACGCACGGAAACCACCAAACGTGTACCTGAAAAAGGATACTAGCATTATTATTGACATCTACAGAATGAGATGGATTGAGTATACCTCCAATATTATAACAAATGTAACACCTTCTGGAAGAAGGTTGTGAGCACCACTTGACAATTCCTTGAGAGTTGCTAAGACCATGGCGTAGGGTAATGGCTTCGTCAACTGCTCTGACAAGGGAGTTATAACTCCCATACTAACATCTATTAACCGTTTGAGAGCTAGTCGCTGGTCATGGTATAGTCAACACAATTAAGTCATTTTTCAAAGCATAATAAACATTGAAACAAATTTGTATGGAAGGCAGAAGTCTAAGTGTCTTATTTGTGGTGGGTAAATCAGAAGTTAATACAGAGCACATAATGTGGATACTTTCATTAAAAAATTATGACAAACATGAAAAGGCTTACAGCATCTTTATCATCTGCTGGTGGAAGCTCCCTCAATAAGATTGAGTCCACAGTAGCCAGATCCTGCAACAGTAGCAGACTTCGTTAATAAGCTTCTCCAATAGATGAAATCAGCTTTTGAATTTCATGCCATAAATGGTGCAAAATTGTACCTTAAATGGCATTCCAATGACTAGTTTTGCTGCCAGAGACTTGTATAGGAGTTCAGGTTCCTAAGAGAAGAAAAATGAAAACAAGGTCCAAAAGTTCAATCAGAATGGCAAAAACAGGAAAAAGAAGAAAAAAGGTCAAAAAAGGAAAAAGAAAAGAAGAGCAAGCACTTCTTTTATATGCTTTCAACTTAATAGATAATATAAACACAGCCTTGGAACGACAAGTCTGGTGTGTGACCTTCAACTGATCCAGGGAAACAGACATGAGAACAGATCCATCACGATGAAGGACGCCTCTGTAGTCAACCTCTTCACCCTGTTTTCCAGAAAAGTCACAAAAATATCAGTTTTCTGAAGGTCCTATAATTTCATTAAAATTGTCAAAATTACCAACTTCATAACGATCCATTGTCTGACCTCCTTCTGCACTGGCAATTGACCAGTTCTACGTTGGAAATCAAAGTAGCGTCTGTTCTTCTCTTCAAATGGTTCCTGATAATAACAGTGAGAATAAACTGATAAGTTTTACCATGTCAAGACTATAAGTCCTAAAAAACCAATAGCCAGTTTATGTTGCAGCCATACGACTCCTTGCTGAAGCTCAGCTGCTCTCATTCCAAGATTAGCCAATCTTCTACAGGGATCTATCTCCTCTTCAGGTGCTTCAGTTAAAGAAACCCTGATAGTATCTCCCAAACCATCCTGCATAATCAACATATATCTTGAGTCTCACAGTAGGCATACCACAGCATCATGTGTATCATGACAATCTGCAGTAATTTTTATTTGGACATTGGGCTAATGGATTGATGTACTAGAGAGAGATTTTAAAATAAAAGACTACAGCCATAAAATACACTTTTTCTTGCTAAATGGGATTTTTCACAAATAAGGAGAAAGGACATACCATAAGAAGTGTCCCGATACCTATTGCAGATTTCATCCGTCCATCTTCACCCTCACCAGCTTCAGTTACTCCCAAGTGTAATGGATAATCCCATCCGAGAACGTTCATTTCAGCTACAAGAAGACGGTATGCCTGGACCATGATAACAGGGTTGCTTGCTTTCATTGAAAAGACGAAATTGTGGAAGTCCAGTTTCCGACAAATCCTAGCGTACTCAAATGCAGATTCAACCTGTTCCATGATCAAATGGACATGAAATCAATCAAACCAGCATGCATAAGAAAATATAAATATGGAACTCTGCATCAAGTTGTCCAAATCATGGCTCACCATTCCCCTGGGGGAGTCCCCATAATAGCTCATTATACGATCTGAAAGGCTACCATGGTTTGTCCCAATGCGCATTGCCCGCCCATATTTTTTACATTTCTCAACCAACGGAGTAAAAACCTAAATATTTAGAAACAAAAATACATAAGATACCATAAAGATTCATATCCCTTAATTTAAATATTTATAGACCCAATCATCCAAGTATTACAGTGGAGTTAATACGTGTTTTCTTTAACATGAGGAGATTCATCAACCAAAAGCAACCATAGGAAACAACCATATATTGTCTCAGTTATCTGCATTCCTCAAAATATCGAATGAAGGTCGTCATAGATGATGCACAGATGAATTGAGAAGCATACTGAAAGTTATATTTCTTTTCTTCATTACCAATATATACGTCTACCTCACGCAGAGGAGTAGAGATGGATCATTAAGCATTTGCTCACACAATGACGATGATGGAAGAGAACTCTATATCTAGCTTGACGTATAGATGTAACATGCAATAAATTGCACCACTCTTTGGCTCTATTTAAGGACCAATATCTGTGATAAAATCACTTCAGGGAAACATGGCAAGTGGGCATGGATATCAAGGGATGTAGAGAGAGTTCACAAAATGATAGGATACGGGTAATACGTTATCAAAGAATTTGATTGTGTTTCATCTTTACTTTAGTTACCGAAGAACATAAAACTCTAATGTTATTCTCTTTTTTCCCTACAGCACAAGTAAATTGTGGAATGGGATAAGATTAAAGGAAGTAGAATTGTCCACAAAGAAAAGCAACTCAAGTACATGCATGTCTGAAGAGAATTTAAAACATCTTGGAAGCAAGCCTAACAACTAATCTCGTGTTACTGCCGGGAATCAGTTATTCTATGGTCCTAACCTGCTCAATATGCTCAAGTTCTTTCTGATAATCGTCTTCAGTATACTCTAGCGTCTCAAACTGAGCTCTCCTGTCAGCTGAAAGGAATGACCGCCGAATTAAAACTAATAAACTATCTTGTTTCCCAAGAAAAAAAACAGAGAGAAGCATGGTAGAGAATTAAGTACCAAAGTTTCCTGGGTTCACACGAATTTTGTCAAAGCACTCAGAAACTCGCAATGCAATAGGAGGGGCAAAATGAATGTCCGCTACCAGAGGGATGTTATAACTGCATGATCAAAGAATTAGTAAGTACCTTGTGCTTTTACTGATATAGATCTAAATGTCGATAAAACTCAATCTAAACACATACTTCTTCTGAACAAGGGAATTTTTAATTTCAAAACATGCATCTGCTTCTTTCTTTCCTTGCACTGTTATTCTAACAATATCTGCTCCTTGGTCAGCTATTCTCATTACCTGCAAATGTAAGAATGTATACGAGTACAGGATCAGTAGTAGTATTCCAAAAAAAATAAAAGTAATACAATTGTACTGTAATCACGTGAGAAATATTATAGTACTGATTCTCTCATTTCTGATAAGTATTGTGGCCTACTAGATGTTGCTTTGACAATAGAAAATTTTGAATGCAATAGTTGAATAAAACTTCATTATACTAAAACTTCATTATATTTTGTGTCAGAAGTCATATCATCTGAAGTTAGGTTAATTCAATATTGACAAGTTTCTTGAGGACAAAAAGAAGTGCCCAGCAACTATTACTGCACAGACTAAGCTTCGTAAATTGACAAGGCGACAAATGGAAGAGTGAGCTACAATTATTAGTGTAATAAATATGTGCTTAATAACCATGTATAGCAGCATGAAGACACCAATGGAGAATGTAAGGGCATAAGGAATGCAGGCCACATGTTAGAAATCTTTTCGAATATTAGAGATCCAATCAGAATATTTGTCAAGTAGCATGCCTAATTACTCCAATTTCATAACAAAGATAATTGATGTTGATTGTGGAATCCACAATCATCCCATCAAAGACAAAACAAAGAGATCATTCATCACGTGACATGATGCACCCACAAGAAACTATCATCTGACTCACACACCATCCAATTAAATTAGTAAATAAAGCACGCAAACCTAGATAGGTAAGGATCATTATTTGGCTGCATTGAAATAATATTGCAAAAAGAAATAAACAGAATCAAATGAACTAGTGGAACCTGCTCAACCGTTGCAGCAACATCCTTTGTATCTGTCGTGGTCATTGTTTGAACTCTAATGGGATGCTCACTACCAAGAGCCACATTTCCAACCATCACAGTGCGAGTTTTCCTCCTGACAGTTTTGTGTACGGATTCACAGTACTTCTGTCTAGGAACTACATTCAAAACATTTAGCATCAGATTTATAGGATAAGGAAAAGGATGAATTTCATATCACATAGCTTCCATTCAGCATTTTTATCACAGGAGACAAGTAAAAACAAACTGTTTATGGCGTTCGCCTAATTTTCTCTGTGTCATCTATTTATTTCAGTGACATAACAACACTCAGGGACCTCTGGACTTCAACACCTACATATATGCCTATAAATATTAATCAAATTTCCTAGCATAAGCAGCACAGCCTATTTAATATCATCAAGAATACCTAATAGTGGACTTCCCGCTGAAGCAGGCTCCAGCTCAGCTGTTTCTGGACCAGGGTTTTGTGAATTTCTGATCACAGTAACCTTGGTTCGGTGAAATTTAACTCTCTTATTCTGCAAGTTAGACACTTTAACAAACTCGGGACATTTAGCGAACCCCAGGCCATGATGATCCCTGTTCTTTAGGCCTGTAAATGAAGCTGGAACAGCTCCAGTTGCCATTTTCAACTCTGAATCCCGACCTTCAAATTCATAAACCACAAAAATGAAACGATATCTATGTTAATTAATTCAGGAAATAGAAATAAAATTACATACTAAGAATTCTTTCGACAAAATACCCTGTTTCAGCTGCAGAAAAAACCACAAATCAATTCGAAATAAACACGTGAACAAAATCAATTTCTCTCAATTGGTTTCCACTCGAATTGATCGTATCAGAAAATAGGAAAAAAGAAAAAGTCAACCCCGCAGTTCCACGAGAAAATATAAACCCAGCATTCAGTAAACTACTTCAATAATAATCATTAAAAAATGAAAACGATACTAAGAAAACAAAAACCCACTTCTAATTTTTAGGATTTTCGAAATCGGTTCTAAGAATTCACAACAAAATTTGTGCTAAAAGTAATCCATCTTAGTTCAGCTACTTCACTTACCGTTTCTGCGCCTGAATTGCAATTACAAGAAGCGATATCAAGAATTTTCAGTGGAAGAACCGAGAGAGAGAAGAGGAGAAAACTTGTGGTGTATGGTGTTTGAGAAGCTTGAAAATCAGAAAATTTGAAAAGACTGAAAATTATATAAATGTAGTGAATTCTACTGGAAGCGATAAGTTGAAAATTTTGCCTTGTTCAGCATCTTTCGTTTTATTGTATTATCGGACAAACAAATTCCTTCATTATAATTATATGTAACTTTTTTAATTGTTGTATTCTATTTTTTTTTTTTAATTATTAATAAACGTGATATTTTAGTTCATTAAATATAATTTTTAATTTAAGGATCTGAGTAATAATATAATTTTTAATTAAATAATTTAGAATGAAATTTAGTGTAAGGACGTCTCTAATGATTTATATGATATTTGGTGTAAATTATTGGAGATGATCTTATATTGAATCGTCACATCTATAACATTATATTGTTATCAAATTTTATAAACAAGTGACAACGATAGTCGATCTAAGCATTATATATATACACTAAGCCCCGCTTGATGGATATTATTTTGAGAAAATATAGTTTTGAATAGTGATTTTTCGTAGAACGAACGATTAAAAAGTAAAGAAAAATTATGGGTTTACATATAAAATATTTTATCACGTAAATGTGTAGTTAAAAATTAGTACTATAATTAACGAGTTTTGAAAATAACATAAAATAAAATTTAACCCAGCATTAATTTATTCTCAAAATCAACTCAATCTTTGAACTGCAATAAAATATTTGTTAGTCAGAATATATTTTATTGGATCAATTATATTATGGTTATTGAGTTGAATGACTGCAATTTTCAAACAAAAGAAAAAGTCAATTCAATAAGTGGTAGTTAATGACTGAAGAAATAGGACGAAATCAATAATACGCGATCATGCAAATAATTAAAACTTCAGGGACTCAATTGCAAATAATGATTTCGCTTCAGTTAGGCATTTGTTTTGCGCCACGAGGGGCACATGCGCGGCACACACTACTATTAGTTTCCCCATGCTTAACCTCTTCAATAATTTCATTCAAAGTTTTCGTATACAAGTTGTTAAAGAATAAAATCTCACATCGAATAAAGATAAAAATATAAATCAACTTATAAAGTTTAGACTGCATGGAACCCCAAATTTTAACATAATATCAGAGTCCATTAAAATTTAAGTTCACGTTCAAAACGATTTATCAAATGAAGCATGTGATCATTAGTTTAAGTACAATACCCGTAAGATAGAAAAGACGATTAACTCAATCTTGTAGGTTTAGTTTTAGATCATTGGTAAAAGGATTTCTCGAAGATTAGGTGCAACATTCAATTGATCCTACGACGCAGCATGTATTTAAATCAAAATGAATTTAACGATATAACATTACAAATTCCAAATTTTAAAGTCAACTGACCAACGTCCGTTCATTAGTTTATCGAGCGTGGAGCTCATATTCATTTAGTCACAAAAGTTAAAAGTTGAAGTAGAGTTCATGTTCAACAATGCAAGTTTATTTTAGCGAAATAAAATACAATTAAAATCTTGAATTTTAGGTTTTTTCAGCTTTCTTACGATAAAAGTTAGCAGTCTTACATGTAACACAGTATTGAATATTGTCGAGTATTAAACAGTTAATATCAAACGGGACCTAATTGATGGGAGCAATAGTTTTGCCAGAAGGGATTATTGTAAGCAACACGTTAGTCTCGTTCTCTTTTAAATACTTTTCTATTCCACGTACCTTTGGAAACTATGGGGTCTACTTTCATGCTTTTTTTTTGTCTTCATTTAAAACAGTTCGCAAGGTAGACAGAAAGAAAAATAGTGACAAAAATGTATAATTATGAAGATAATATTATTTTATTAATCAGTTTTCGTAGATGCAATTTCTTTAATGTTTAAGAATTTGTACTCTTTTAAGTAAAATATATCAACAAGACGTGACTTTCAATGAGTGAGTGAATTACCATAAATTACATAAACGATCGAAAAATGGATGTAGGAGCTCTTATTTTTCAACATATAATGTGAGAATACTTGAAAATCTTGTAAAATATTTTATCTATAGACTGTGGTTATTAAAGTTCTCACATGGTAAAATGTAAAATCATGTCAACTTCGACATAGATGACGATAGAATTTATGTGAGAGAATTTCTAGTTTTAACGAAATGTTTAGATGCAGTAAAAAGATTTAATTGAACAAACAAAATGTGAAACTTAATTTAAATCATGTTAGTGCAGGAAAAATGACGAGGAAGCAGCCAAATTAAGTTGAAATACTTGTTTATTCTCCTCGCGGAACATGTGCAGATGGCCCCCATCATTCTTGAACCCAGCCCAACAACAACTTACAGAATGGAATTTGAACCAAATATTCTTTGATACTTTTCTAAGCCAAAATCCTATGCTTGCTTCATGTTTATGAACGGCTTATATACACTCAAGTCACTTTTTATTAACATACTTCAAAGAGAAGTGCTTGAAGTACAGGAAAATGGTTCACATGGGTTTGCCAGACAAGACACAGGTGGGGTCGGCGCTATTTTTTCAAAAAAAAATACATGTGGGGCCACCCCTTTGTGAGAAGCCTGTAAGGCCCCTGTGAACCATTTCCCTGAACACACGGCATTTCACTACTTGAAAATGCTCATCTACTTATTTTTTAATAATTATGTGCCTGTGCATGTCCACCAAGCACTGGCCCTTCGAGTATTTACCAAAACGTCACAAATCCAATAGAAACAAAAATCTTGTGAAAAAAATACATTTTGTTAAGTTAAAAGCTCGTCGTAGATACACACTCATATGTTATGTCCTCAAAATGCACTCCCCAAAGCTCCTAAATCTAAAGTTCCGACAAAAATAAAGCTGTATTAAACAATTTCTTTTCCTTTTTCTAACTATTAGATAGGTATAGTCCTATTTTTTCTCGAACATGGTAAATCAATTTTTGCCTTTACTTTTACCTCAACTCGTGCCAAAATCCTTCATTCATGTTCAGTGTACCACAACATGGGCAAAAACTGAAAACGAATGTGCAGTATTCTAAGTGAGATGTCCAAGATAAAAAGGAACATTGAAAAGAATCGACGTGAAAGAATACTATCCAAAACCAAAAGCAAGATGTAGTGGAAGACCGGTAAAAGAGTTGGCAAATCCGACAGCCATATGAATAAGTATTCATGCTTGAGTTTTCAAGCACCTAATGTAAATCGCTGTTACAACATCCAACCAAATATGGTTTAATTCCGAGAAATAACAACTTCTTAAAACTAATACCAATACATAACCAAAACTGAAAAAAACAGTTTGAATTAAGCTGAAGAAACCTAGGATTCACTGAATCTACAATTAGCATTATAAGCTATTTAAATGAGCAAATTTCATTTTCAAGCCTTCATACTCTTCATCAATTATTGCAGAAAGGAAGCCATTCTTTTCCTTGTTGCTTGGTAGGGGAGGTAGCAGTGGTAAAAAATAGTAGAATGGACCATATTACCCAAGTAATCAATTATCCATGTAACTATGTTACAGGGTGCGGAATGCAGAGCATAAAATCTAAATCATTGATATCGATATATATAGCAGCAGATAAAAATTCTCCGGTACAAACATGAATTTAGGTGACTTGTGAAGAGGTGCTTGAGTCTTCAACTAGAGCATGCTGCTCAAGGATTTCGACCGTCTCCTCCTTCGCACTGCCAAGACAAAAGAAGCCCATCAGAGTCATATGACACCAGTCAAATCATAGAGCACACTTACAATGGTTTTTATGAAACAATTTACGTGATAGCTCAGGGAGCACAACATGAGAACAAAATATAATGCAACTAACTGTAAGAAACAACTTTTCCACATTAACTTATTGGTTAGAATATAATTCAGTGCTTTGTCATAAGATATGCCTTTAAATACTGCATATAAGTTCAAGACGAGTTTGCAACAGATAGCGAGTACTAAATGATATTGGGTCTAATAATCAACCGTCTTTGATAGGGCACTCAAACAATCTCCAAAAAATTTATCAATCCTTAGATTATGCCTCAATCAGCATCAGGGCTATGACAACGCGAAATTTTTTTTTGGTTCCAAAGAGGTGTCATGTATGTCCAGTAATAGAATAAAACAAGGTCCAGAACATTAACATAGCATACACTCATTTCTCATTAAACAGTTTAGGTCAAGCGCCGGTGGAAGCTTTCCCATGCTAAATAAATTAATTATATATCACCTCGGACATTTAGGTATGGTTCTTGAAAATATAGTTTACATGTACACATTAGTGAAGAAGCCTAGACAATATAATGAACAAGATTTGAACCTCTTTTTCGACAAATGTTAGCCGATCCTCCCTACCAAACATGCCATTAATTTTTGAAGCTAGGATCTCTTAAAATATTCTGAGTACTTGTTCGAGATGCTTGATTTCGAAGGCACTTTCTTTATCAAGGCAAGATTTCCAAGATAAACATATGCAATTTAATGTCAGAGAAATTAGATGTTTACCTCCCGGGCCTTAGGATCTTGTACTTCCCTAGCTTCGTAAGATCCACTACTGTTGATCCTGCACGGCCAGATGGAAGCACACCTCCATTGTACACATATGTGCAGCGCTCCCAGAGGTTCTCAAAATCTTTGATATCTACACTGCTAGGCTGCCCACTAAGGTTTGCACTAGTAAGGGCCAATGCACTTCCAGAACCACGGGCAATTGCCCTAATGAAGCTACAGTCGGGCACTCGAACCCCTATACTGTCTAGTCCAGGGTTTAAGGATTTCTCAAGAATACTTGACTCCCCTGTACAATATCAAAACAAAAAATTTAAAGACTGTAGAGTGCCATGTAACAAAAAAAAAGATGAACATGATATTTTTGTAACTACAACTGAAGATGATATAATAATGTGGGAAAGGCCTCAAACTTAGCAAAAAATCTGTGTAACTCCACATCCAATGCAAATTCGCAAATTATAAAACTTAGAAGTAATAGTAATTTTTGTTTCCAACCATGTTTGGATAGGTTAATTTAAGTAAAAGAAAAAAAGTTATTTTGCAAGAAACTTTTATTTTACTATCAAAATTAGAAACTTACTCATTTCCAACTTATCAAATAAATCTATTTAAAACTTTTAAGTAAACTTTTTAAGCTTAGACAAATAGGCTCTAACTCAGACATGAAGAAAATAACATAGGATGATGAACAAGTTTGTTTTAACTGAACTTAAAATATTCTTTAAAAACTTGAACTAAAATTATTTAAGAAAAAATAGTAATGATTCCTACAAACCTCGTCTTAGCACCACTGTCACAGGTCCTGGAAGAAGAGAATCAAGCAACCCGTGAGGCAAATAGTCTGTGACAGCAAACCGTTCTATGTCCTGAACATCTCCTACGCAAATTGCAAGAGGGCTCGTATATTTACGGCCTTTGATCTCATATATCTGTTTAACTGCTTCCATGGAGCTAGCATTATCCCACCACATAAAAGCAAACGTTTAGCACACAACATCTAATGCTATGTTCTAAAAGTGCATAACTTTTTTTCTTTTAATTTACACCAAATATCAGGAAAAAGGGCATGAGTTTAGCTATTTTTATATGGTTTAACTACTTGCAGCTGCTTTTGCCTGAAGGGAAAAACCTATTTTTCTCCACTTCATTACTAGTTCAATGCGAGCAATCATCAGCAGAAGACTTTGGAGGAGAAAAGTAATATGTAATTCTTGACGTCCCCCATCAAATTACTTCGCCAAAAATTTCCTTTCTCAATGCGATTTTCATATTATCACAAAACATATTAGATCAGTCCCTCCCTATATGAATCATGAAATTCTCATTAATAAATGTTCTTATTATATAAAAGCACTTGACACACCTGAACATCTATAAAAAAAACCATGGCTTTATAGAGAGCGCAATTCGAAGAAAATAGCATATTTGGTTAAGCTTAAAGAGTTCACTTATGAGTCAGTTTTAATATAAGAAAAAAAATTTATAGATAGAAATCGAGAATCAGTACTTATCTGACTGTAAAGTAAGAGTTTCAAATAACTTTTTTTTAATAATAAAAAAATAATTTATCCAAAATTTTTAAAAGTAATAACTTCTACTTTATATTAAGCTTAACCAAACATGCTTGTACTACCATTTAGTTCAATTGAAAAATCATATAACTTTAAAAAAACATGTAGCAAGCACTGACATCAAGCCTATGTTCATTTTCCAAAATTTTCAATTTCAACCAACAATAACAATAGACAATGCCCTGTTCCATTCAATTCATTGCTAGAACAATCCAATTTCGAGCCAAAGTATTAACAATGATATGTACAAATACCGAAGACTACAAGCCAAATGAGAGTGAAATATACCAAGCATCACAAGCAAAGCCATAGAGGGTATCAGTTGGCACAGCTATAACTTTTCCAGCCTTAACAGCTTCAATTGCCTCTTCAGCGTTACCCTCCATTGCCGGGCGAACCAATCCCATTCTAGTAGTCTCCACACCATTCCCATTACATTTCTCCACACTCCAAGCCATCCTCTTTATACACAACTCTTTAAATCCTCTTCTACTCTGCAGTATATTCAAATTCTGCAACTTCTGCACCACTGTAAATATGAAATACAATCTAACAAGCAATTCATCAAACACATAATATGCAAATCTAAATGCAATTTGGAACAATGAAATTACGTGCAGAAAAAAGACTGATAATTCAGCAGAATATAGGAAAAGACACCTCTGGAATGTTGGAAAATATAGTTGAAAAAGAGGGCTGGCAGCTGTGTCCGGGCTAAGTTTGTTGTCTTTGTCGGGACGAATAAGTTCATTACTCTTTGCCTCCTCCACTCCTTGTCTGCTGCTTTCAACAGTTGGTGTGCACACACAGACACTTAGTCCCTAACTTTTGTGATATACAACTTTGTTCCTATTATATTTAGAATAGTTCGTCTTCAATGACTCATACTGCCCAAATTTATCAAAATTTCATGTTATGCTAGTATGTCTAAAATCAAATTTTACTTTACAACTTGACACCATGCACAGAAATTTGAAATAGTATCTCAAAATGGCAAAAGTAAATAGAAATATTTAGAGTTAGAGAGACTCGATGATGGATAGATAGACTCATCTCAAGAAAGGAGCCAATATGCTATTTCATTAGTTTTTCATATGTTTTCAAATCAAACCAGATAATACGGTTCGACATCGAAAATAGTGAGCCAATAGGAAAACAGGTCTAGTTGATAGTTAAAATCACAATAGTATAAACGAGTTAGTTAAATGAATGCTCATTAAAATTACTCCTAGGCCTAGGTTACTACTTGCTTACTGTTATTAAGTCATCAAATTGCCACGTGATCAACAAAAATCAGACATAGCACCTTGACAACGTTAAATTGTCAAGTTCATTAAATAAATACTCATTAAACTTATTCCTAGGTTACTAATTGCTCACCGAACCAAAAAAAAATTACGCATTGCTCGCTCATTATTTGTTTAGATCTAATTGGTTTTTGGTATTCTATTTAAGAGGCTTATATTTTCCTTCAATTTTTCCGAGTTCAATTTGTAAAGCAAATGGAATTAAAGGTTTTCTTTTTTCTATAGATACAATTATTTTTTTAAGAACGTACTTTTGTTGTTTTCTTCTTAGTTCTGATTGGGTGATTTTCTATTTAGTTGTCTATGTTCAGTCCTATTTATTTTAAATGATTTTTTTGTACAAGTTTAATCCACATTTTCTTCTGGTAGTTGTTTTTCTTCTTAGTCAAGGGAAAAATGAGAAAATTTTACTAGGTGAAATGATCAACCAAACAATTGAAGTAGTTAATTCTGGAGCTTACTTTCAAGAACCAATTCCTTTATTATCAAAGCTACATCCCCCTTCGCGAATGCCTAATTCCAAATAGATAATCTTTATCCTCACAGTTATAAGTAAATTAAGAAATTGGTAAATTTATATATAATTGCAGCCCAAAATTCGGCCATCCCCAAATTAGCTCGAACTAATAACACCCAACCACCCCAAGGCAAACCCCCACGCCAAATGTTCAAACCAGATACCCCATCCCCAAATGGCCAAAAAACAATTTGGGAAACATCAAACACTGTAAAATCAGAATCAACAATTGTGAGAGAAAGAACTAACTGAATGCATGGTATAAAAAGGCGATAGTGAGGAGCACCTTGAGGCCCGCCTCACTGTGAGGTGCATGTAGTATGCTTCGAGGCGGTATTTTTTAGGCTAAAAATATGAAGCTCACGCCTCTAAATCTGAGGCGCACGCCTCAAGGTGCGCGCCTCATGGAGCATGAGGCGTGCGCCTCATTTAACATTTGATTTTTCAATTGTATGAAAAGAAATCAGAAATGACTCTTCTTAAAAAAGAAAAAAGCTCATTTAAAAAGGTATTTTAGGCCCCAAACAAAACAATAAAATACTTAGAAAATTAAACGACAGTCAGAAATTAGAGGACCAAAAAGGGAACAGATTCAATAGAAATTCAAAAGTCAGAATTCAAGAAGAGTGTCGTCTTCTTCATCAGTTCACCAGGTATGTTTTTCCTCTTTTTCTTTTTCTTTTTAAGGATTCAGTAAATCTTGCATGCAATTAATTGC